TATTACACAGAAAAGTCCTATATAAGGAACAATGGACCAGCACCTAAAAGCCCAAAACTAAAAGTCCAATTATACAATACAATATATTTCAACAAATGATAACAACAAAAAGAAGCAAGATGATGATCAATCAACAAATGCAACAACTGATGAAATTGCAGATACACTAATATGTAGTTTAGATAGTTCCATTTACTCATGGACTAAAGACTCAAGTGCGTCATTTCATACTACACCTTCCTTAGAACTATTATCTAACTACGTTTCAGTAAAATTTAGGAAACTTTACCTTAAAGATGGAAAATCTCTTGATATTATGGGAAGAGGTGATATTAATATCAGAAACTCTAATGGAAGAGTGTGGACTTTGAAAAATGTCAAACATGTTCCTACCTTAAAGAGAAACTTAATATTTATAAGGTAGCAGGATGATGAGGGGCCTTACACCAATTTTGGAGATGGAGATTGGAAGGTAATGAAAGGTAATCTTGTTGTTGCTCGTGGAAAGAAGCAAGGATCTTTTTATATGATTGTAGATGAGGATATGATAGCAGTTGCAGAATTTGACAACACTTCTTCTTTGTGGCATTAGAGACTTGGGCATATGAGTGAGAAAGGAATGAAACTCATGATCTCGAAAAGTAGAACTTGAAGCATGTTGACGTTGAACCATGTGAACTTTGTATCTTTGAAAAGCAGAAAATGGTTACCTTTTCCAAAACAGGTAAGATGTCTAAAGTTGAAAGACTAAAACTAGTGCATATAGATGTTTGGGGGCCAGCTCTAGTGAAATCCCTTGGCAGTTCACAATATTATCTAACCTTGATTGATGACTCTACAAGAAAGGTATGTGTCTATTTTCCTAAAAATAAATCTGATGTCTTTTTAGTGTTTAAAAGGTGGAAAAAGGAGGTTGAAACTCAAACAGGTTTAAAGGTTAAATGTTTGAAGTCTGGTAATGGTAGAGAATATGACAGTAGTGAATTCAAAAAGTTTTGTTCAGAAAATGGGATTAGAATGATCAAGACACTTCCAAAAACACCAGAACAAAAATGAACAGAACCTTAAATGAGAGAGCAAGATGTATGAGAATCGAGTAAGCACTACCCAAGGTATTTTGGGCAGATGCAATAAACATAGCAACCTATTCTATAAATAGAGGATCATCAATTCCTTTACATTATCAATTACCTGAAGAAGTCTGATATGGAAATGAGGTAAATCTTTCAGACTTAAAAGTCTTTGAGATAGCAACCTCCTTAACTAGGTTGGGCCAAAGCAAGAAGAGAAGATATGGTGACAGTGAAGGTGGGTCAAAAGGGTGCGGAATTTGGTGGAATGTGGAGAATAAGGCTCACAACCTTGGTGTTTGGATGGTGATGGGGTGGTATTTGATGGTGCTCTTACAGAGATTAGGCCAACTCTAAAGGAAGGTGGCTAGAGGAGCCCACATGGGATGCTCTAGCCTTTGGTGACCTAAGATGAGTATTATGATAATAATAAAATTCATTCTCTTTTCAAGTGACTCTAATAGTAGAGATAAGTTGGACCCTATGACAAAATGATGTTATTTCATTGGTTATGGATCTGACATTATGGCTATAGTTATTCTCCTTCATTACACTACTTGTTGTTTATTGATGTTGGTGAGCCAAAGCATTTTGTTGAGGCTATGTAGGGAGATGAACATATTAAGTGGGAGCTAGCAATGAAAGATGAGATAAAGTCTCTTCAGAAGAATAAAACATGGTCTTTAACCAAGCTACTAGAAGGAAAGAAGGTTTTGCAAAACAAGTAGGTCTATAGGGTAAAAGAAGAACCAAATGGAAATAGAAGATATAAGGCTAGACTCGTAGTAAAACGGTTCCAATATAAACAAGGAATTGACTTCATAGAAATTTTCTCTCTTGTTGTCAAGATGACTACCATTAGAGTTATTTTGAGTATAGTAGCGGCAAAAAATCTTCATCTAGAGCAATTAGATGTCAAAATTGCATTCCTACATGGAGCTCTTGAGAAGGAAACTTGATTTATGGCATAACTAGAAAGTTTTGAAGCACATGGCATAGAGAATCTTGTATGCAGACTTCATAAAAGCTTGTATGGATCGAAACAAGCACTAAGACAATAGTACAAGAAGTTTAATGTGTTTATAAGAAACTCAAGATTTCACAAATGTGAAGAAGATCATTGTTGTTACTTGAAGAAATATGTTGACAACTATATCATGCTTGCTTTATATGTTGATGACAGGTTGATTGCAGGAGATAATATGGCAAAAACTAACAGATTGAAAAAACAGTTGTCAGAAAATTTTGAAATGAAGGATCTTGATTCAGGCAAACAAATTCTTGGTATGAGAATCCAAAGATCGATTCTAAACTTATCTCAGGAGAAATATATAGAAAAATTGCTTAGCAGATTTAATATTGAAAAAGCTAAAATGAAGAATACACCTTTGATAACTCACTTAAAGTTTTCAAAAGGGAAATCCTCTTAAACAGATGAAGAAGAAAGTTACATGCCTAAAATTCTATATGCATCTACAATAGTGAGCTTGAAGTATGCTATGGTTTACACCAGACCTGACATAGCACATGTAGGAGTTGTGAGTAGGTTTTTATCAAATCCCAAAAGGAGCATTGCGAATGTGTGAATTGGATATTGAGATATTTGAAGGGCACCTCAAAGATGCATTTGCCTTTTGGAAGAGTGATCCCACTTTATAAGGATTTTCTGATGCAGGCTTGGGACAAGATTTGGATGGTAGAAAAAGCACAACAGGTTACATCTTTATGTTGGGTGGTACAACTATCAGTTGGAAGTCTAAACTTCAAGGAGGACTCTCCCTCCCAACCATTAAAGATGAGTATGTAGCTATCTCAAAAGCAGTGAAGGAGATGGTTGAAGAACCTTCTAAAAGAATTAGAGAAAAAGCAACATGACCCTCCATTATTCAGTGACAGTAAGAGTGTTATATGTCTTGCTAAAAATCTAGTTCTTCATTCTAGATGCAACCACATTGAATTGAAATATCATTTTTATCATAATCCTGATAAATGATGGGGACTTCTTTCTGTTGAAGATTCCAGATGCAAAAAATCCAGTTGATATGTTGACCAAGACTGTCACAATAAATTAGTTAAGGCTTTGTATTGCCTAAATGGACCTTCAAGAATAATTGATGATGAAGGCAACAACACTAGATGAGAATGTAAATCAAGCTCCAAGTGGGAGAATTATTAGTATCATGGAGCTTAATTTAGTCTCATATCGTTTAGTACTGAAAGATGTTGTTCTCCCTTTTTGCTATATAAGCAACCATCTATAAAGCTTGAAACACACTGAAATACAAATACTTCCTAGTGTAGTCGAAGATGTAACCATACACATTGTAGGCTGAATCACGTTAAATTCTTGTGTTGTTTATTTCTCTTTATTCTTTTATTGTCTTGTTCCTAACATTTGAAAAAAAATCATAGTTTATTATTTAGATAACAACTTCAAATACTAGATACATGAAACAATCCTTTACCACAAGTCTTGTGCACAAGGAAGCAAAGTAAATAAGCATTGAAGATTTGAATATATAGAAAAAAGAATAATTTAGAAGGACCTTATTATCACATACTTGTTAGGTAGGACAGTCCTTTTTTGATCAATAACAACTCTTCTTTTCTTTGAAAAATGTGACCGATCTCTCACAGCTGGTGTAGAAATAAGCATTGACTCTGGTGTAGTAGCACCTGCCAAAATAGATTTTTAAGAAAAAAAAATTGAAGAATCCATATGCTGAAAATAAAGACAGAAAATTATTCAGCAGTTGCAATTTCAATGCCTACGAAGAATAATGGTTTCATGAACCTCGTTTTGGCCTTCCAATGGAATCATCTTGACACGTAGACACAGCAGTTACATCTAGATTTTTTGTTTTCGATAGAGTAAAACTAAGCCTTCCATCTTCAACTGAATCCTTTTCTTGAAACCTTAATTTTCCTTTGTTATCACACTTTTCAGCAAACCCTTCAATGAGCTCTTCATGGATGTCATTGACAATAGATGAATTGGCATGGTGCACACATTCTTTTTCTTGGTGTATCTTATCCTCACTCTTTTCTATAATTTCTTCCAAACTTCTGGCTTCAAGAACTTCAATAATTTCCTCACTCATGTTGCAAAATGAGCTTAATGTTTCCTTGACAGAACTCTTGACAGTGTCAACTTGACAAGATTTGGTACATTCTTCCGCAGATGACACATGTTCCTCCTCTCTCCCACAAAATATACTGATATCCATATATTCATCTTGAGAGATTCTACTACTATCTTCATGCATTTCATCTTCACTTGGAACTACATCTTTAATTGTCTGATCTTCAATAATTTGTTGATCTTGACCAGACAACTTGACAAATTCGTTCTCTAGTCGTCCTTCTACCATTACAACACTTTCCATGTTCATTGCCTCCTTTAGAGAAAACATGCTGCTTTCTAATGTATCCCTGCCTTCTCGTAAACCAACTGGACTAAGTGGATCAACTTTAATACCCATCATACTCAACAGTTGAGTTAGATGAGCACTGCCATGTATATTGCAAAATCAAATAAGTTCAATGAAGAATATACGGAACAATTCAAATTATAATCAGCATCATGTTATGGCAGAAGAAATATAATAATATTTTCATAAGTTTGGTCAACATACTTTCCCACTTTATCGCGATCAGAAGAGCAGGTATTTTCACTGTTATCAAACTCCTCAAACTGCATAGTAAAAGGCATTTATTATGTGCAGAATCAATAAATAACACAACGGTTTGTTTTTTCTGTTTTAAGTAAATTTAACACTATCAACTATATGAAAATGTCTTCCATCAATACCTCCTATAACTTATTATGGCTACAATTAAGGTGAAATTTAATTTAACTAGCTCATTTTGGTCAATGAAATTATTCAAATTGGCATAAAAAATCTTGCATGGATGGCAACAAAACGGTAGAACTAGACTAGTCAATCTATCAAAATTAGTGGAGTTGCTTAGATGATTCAACCTACAAGCACGCCAATCCACCAAGTCAAAGTGGGTTAAGTTGCTTAATCCACCAATATTTAAGAATGTTATTTCCTTTTATTATCAATTTAATTTACATTACAGTTTTAATTATTTATATTTATTAACACCATACATACATAAATACACACACATATATCGTAGAATCTAACAAATTATTACCGATTCCATTCGAAATAAAACATATTTTGGCAGGTCAACTCCCTCTGCCAACCCAACCTTGCAGATTATTTCAAACAATTATGATTATGTAATATACAATCATTGTACAATTTATCACTCAGCATCATATTCCCCAATTAACTCCAGTTATTTGGGACAAATTTATGCCCTATATTTTTTCTATAGATGTTCCAAACAAATTTTCATTAAACCTTATCTGCCTTGATTTTCACTTAAATACTATTTGGAGAAAATCTGTAACAAGAAAGATAAAAAACAAAAGAAAAAAAGAAAGACATTGAATAGAATTAAAAACCGAGATAACATTCTCATAAGAATGTAATGGGATAATTCACCTATAATTTTAAGCTTTAAGGTGAAGCCCAAGTAAAACAGTATCTATGTTATACATTACTCGTGTACATAATCAATTAAATCCCGAAAGTGGTACTCCATAAGGGAAAGTACTTAAGTATGCGATTGCCAATCAATGAAAGATAGTAGGTCAAATTTTAAATTAGGCAGTTATAGTGTTGTATTATGTTATTAGGATTCTATTTTTATATGAATTTATACATGATCCTTATAGCAATATATAGGTTTGTGTGATAGACTTGAAGAAGGCAATTGGCGCATGAGATTGTCATTTTGAAGTTTTCAAAGTGAAAACTCTTTGCTTAGAGGAAACCATGTATTTGTTGATGTTTGAATTGTTATCATATCTGACAGTGGTGAATGGCAGCTAGATCTGAAAATGGCAAGCAAGATGACATGATAACAGGAAGCAGATGACCCCTATTTTAAATATTAAAATACAGACTTGATAATTTACTATACAAATATAAATACCCAAGAAAAGGGAAATAATAGGAGACACTATCCAAATAATTTGGCAGATTTTGGCTTAGAACGGTTGAATATAGTAAAAGCTAGGTATAGGGTTAATCTCCCTTGTGTAGAAAATAAACATAGGCTAATTTATTTATAATAAAGAAAATATGGGCTAAACCCAAATACAAATAAATATGTAAAATAACATAAGACATAATATAAATATTTAACACTCTCCCTTAAGCTTGTACATATAAATCATATCATATGTATCAAGCTTGTTACAAATATAATCTCTTGAAAAGAGAATGAATTTTATTATTGTCATTCATATCTATTACATTCTCCTTACATCTAGTTGCAACAATCTAATACTTGAGATTAAAACTAATAAAATATATTCTTGAGGGCTTGACTGATCCCTCTCATTATCTTCTATATATATTGAAAACACAAGAGTACATGGAACATCAAGAGTATGCACTAGACCTCTAGGTACAAAACTAGGTACGACTCATTAATGGTCTAGCAGACAAGCCTTAATGATGGTATATAACAATAATTATTCTAGCACTCCCAAAAGCTGGAGCATACAGATTGTATGTACCAAGCTTGGAACAAATAAACTCAATCCGAGGTCCCCTTAATGACTTAGTCAACACATCTGCGAGTT